GTATTTGGAACTTGATCTGGCGCACCGCAGTTCCACATCGCATGTGATCACATGCATGAAAGGTTGTCGTGGGTGCACTACCAACCATGCAATGTAAGCGGGCACGACATATACCCTGCTAGGCCTCCTACCTGCTGTGTGGCGGTGCCATTGACGATTCATATCATGCATTGTTTACATGTGACATGGTGGCTTCACTTTAGGATTCTATGGGTGAGATTTGGCCAATACCACCGAAGAAACACGTACATGTACGGAATGGCTGGTGCATCTCTTAGGTATGCAGGATAGCAATGCTAGAGACATGATTCTCATGTGTGGAATCTTCAGAAGGACCTTACACATGGGAAATCTATTCCGCCGACTGAAGTTTCACGTGGATTTCTGAAAAGCTATTTGAACTCCATATGAGATGTGAAGGTCGTGAGTGTTGAGCAGATGTTAAAGGGCAAGTCCCCTGTGGATGCCCCCATCCTGGTACGGGTAGACAGATCGAAGCCGAGTGAGCCGGTTTGGTATTCGCCGCCGCCCGACTGGTTCACCCCTCTCAGTGGATGGCTCCTTCTCCCCGGAGGACGGGCCCGGCAAAGTGGGTATTATCCTTCGTGATAACAATGGTGGTGTTACTTTTGCTCCTTGTCACGTGCTCTTCGTTTTGCAACTAGCAATGCGAGAGGGAATGACCTTAATTGGAAATTCAACGCTCTAGTCTCCTTATTTTGGCACAGTCTGACTCAGTGGGCGCTCTCTCTTCACCGTCAAATTCTTTCCTCGCCAAACCGTTTTATGATCTCTTGGTACAGGAGATTATGTTGCTCATGTTGCAGCTTGACATTGTTCAAGTTAAGAGTTAAGACCCGGTCATAAGATAGAGTTTCTCACTGTTTTTTTTTTCTAATTATGCTTGCACAGCTCGCCATACCACTTACAGCGTGGGCCACCGCTTATTCTATACTATGCTGTATCAGCAGATTGAGGGCGTGTTCTGATCTTCTTTAGCTTCATAAAACTTCACATATCCAACTTCTTTCCGTGGCTTCTAACTTCAAGCAGCGATCCGACGAAGTCACTAGTTAAGGAGTACTCCTTACGGAGATCACTTCAACTTCCCAGGTTGCAACAAGTGGCGCGCTACATGTGCGTCACTTGTCGCAACCTGGGAGCTTTCCCTTTTTTCATAGATCTGTTTATTCAAAACCTTTTATCTCTTAAACCATGCGTTCAAATCTCAAACCGCTTTCGCCGTTGGATTCCTCGCGTTGAGATCTTCAAAACTAGATCCCATGTTGATAGATTTTGACGAACTTTTTTTCACGAAAAAACCGGACGAAAAAACCGAACCGGGAACACGGGTTTTTTTTCCTTTCCGAAAGAGGCACGCCCGTACCTCTGACGAAATCACAACCTGCCTCTCGCGGAAGCAAAACCGTGCCTCTCGCGAAAGAAAAAAAAACAAAAAACGCGTTTTTTCCTTTTCGAAAGAGGCACACCCGTGCCTCTCTCGAAAGCACAACCGTGCCTCTCGCG